TATGTTAAGATTGTTTTGAGTTGTTGTGGTGTTAAAAAGGAGGTGTTGGTGTTGTCAGTTTGTTGGTTGTTTGTTGGGTTTGATTATTTTTCGTTGTTATTGTTATTGTTGCTGTAAGAGTTTCCCATATTTATTGGTTGTTAGTATTATTCTTTGTTGGAGTCTGGGCTATAGTATTTATTGTGGTAAGTATTTGGTTCATCTTGTTTTTCATTCCCTCAATTGAGGAAAAAAGTTGTGTTTGGGTGTTTCTAAGGTCTTCGAAGCTGTCTTCTGAGGTGGATTGCATAAGATTAGTTTGGGATATGGATGATGATTCTGGTGAGGCTAGTGTCTGTTCACTGTTCATTGTTTTGTAGTACTCTTCATTATAGTATTCTAAATTGGTGATGTATTTGTCCAGTTCTGTGACCTGATGTTGATGATATTTAGTTGTTGTTGAATTTCTCTGAGAATATTAATTATATTTCCAAGAGTTGCTGGGTTTTTATGTTCTGTTCTGGTTGTTTGCAAGACTGCTCTTGCATATGTTCCTGCTCTTGGGGTTGTTGAAGTTCTGGGTTTGCTGATGTTGCAGATTGTTGATGTTTTTTCTGGTTTATATTTGTTGTAAAGATATTCGAACTTGGTTGCTTGGTTTTTGTTATAGGTGTCCCATTAGTGGCATCTTTCTTTGATTGGACAGTTTTTGGCCAGGTGTGAGGTTCCATCATATATTGTGCATAGCTTTGTTGAGATTGAAGTGAATAAGAGTATAGTTTCTCCTAAGGTGTATTGTGTTTATACTGTTGCTAGTAAGTCATCTTGTGTTTTGAAACTAATAACGGCAAATTTCTTGGGTCTATATCCCCTGTTTGCAGATCTGGGAATATAGCACGTGCAGCCTTTACATTGTGTTAAGATGTTTTTGATGTCCCATGCTGTTGTATTGAGGGGTAGGTTTGTTAGTTTTGCTGCTATTTTGTGTCTCTGTTTTATTTGTTATAATGTCTATTCTGCGTCATTGATTCTCACAGAATCTCCTTTGATAAGGATACTTCTATTGTTGACAAGTTTTTCCTTGTGTTTTGGATCTTCGAATATGATTGTGGCACATTGCCATAAATTTTGGGTTTTTATAGTGATTCCTTGGATTTGACCATATTTGGAGAAGGCCTGTTTCACTTCAATGAGTTTCGTGTTCAAGGGAATATTCCATACTACAATGGAATTTGTCTTGTTAATTTCTTAGCATTCAGTTTCCATGTGTTCGAGCTTGTTGTTATCCATTTCTGGAAGAACTATGGTTGTGACATGTTCTGCTGCATGTTGATTACCAAAAATGGTAATGATATTCATGTTATCTTTTTTTCCTTCACTATGTATAGTAAGTAATCCTTCAGGAGAGTTGAGAGTGAGAATAATATGTTCTAGTTTTTGATGTGTTGTTTTTTCTTTTACTAGATTTGCTGGGATGCCAACCTTGTAGCGTTCTCTGCCATATCTGGTTGCTCTGTCGAATAATGATCTTGATCTTGGTTTGCCTTGAAGGTTGTCGATTTCTTTGCCTTTGCCTTTTGCAATTGTGAACCATCTCTGCTCTGGATTGTTTCTTTGTTCAATTTTCATTTCTTTATTAGTATCATTGATTCTGATATATATTGGTTTGCTGCTAGTGGTGTTGGGCTCTTGATTGTCAATTTGTATGCTTGCATTGTTAGATGTGGCAAGATATGTTTTTACTATTTTGCTCTATGAAGATGTTGATGTTGATGATTCTTGATTTTGTTGCAGAAGATATTCTGTGTTTGGTTATTGCTGTTGTTAGTTGTCTTGAAGGGTTTCTTTTGGTTGTGTTGTTATAAGTGTTAATAGTACTATTTTTAGATTATTATTTTATAGTATTATATTATTTTATTATTTCTATTATTAGTTATTTAGTATATATAGTATAGCAAGTAGATATGACATTTCTGCCAGATATGACTGATCAGCCTGATTGATCTGATCGACCTAATCAGACAGAACAGTCTGAATGACCTAAGCAATGTGATCAAGGATATCAGGCATATCTGACTGAACTGGCATATTTTGTTGCTTATTTACATTTTAGTTTCATATGATTCAAACATATATAAATAAGACAGCTGTTCTTCTCAACTGTCCAAAGAATTTCCTAACACTTCCCAACTCTCTTTAATAAAACCTATCTTGAAATTATAACCAAATTACTGTGTCTCTTGCCTTGGAAATAAACCTTGCTCAATTCCTTCACCTTACCAACACTAGTATATCATAACTGAGGCTATTTTCCTTTAAATTAAGTGATTCCCTGCTACTGTTGATTATTGATCTATTTAATTTTAAGGTTTATTAAATAGGTTAACAGTGTATTGGCATTCAGGGTCTCTTTTGTTGTTTGTTGGTTGTTGTTGGTAGTTATACTAGGCAGTTGTTGTATAGGTTTCTTGATTGCTACAATAGTGGGCTTCTTTGTGTATGGTTATGCTCTGAGGGTACCTAAGTCTTTACCTGCCCTTTTCTTATATCTCAGTGTGCATTCTGTTGTGAAAGGAGTATTAAAAGCTTTGGAGCTTCGTTGGTAGCTTGACATCTTTCCTTTACTTTTCATCCTATCACTTTCCAAAAAAGGAAATTTTTAGGAAAACTATTGTGTGCGGGAAAGAGTTTTTTGTTTCAATAATGTTTGATGTGTATAAAAATAATATAAAATTAATTTATTATTGTTATATATATATATATATATATATAGACCTGTGGGTCTATAGTGTAGTGGTTAACACTCCACAGGTCAGATCACAAGATACCAGTTCAACTCCAGGTAAAGGCAGTTGAAACAAATTAAGAATGATATCTGGGGCCATAACCTGTTAAGCCCTGTTTCCTATAAGAAGTCATTTACATACTGATCCAGTGGGATGTTGGGATTGTGATCTTCAGAAAAGGCGTCGAGGTGTGACGATCGTCCATATGGTGCTATGATGATTGCCAGAAGCATGCCAATGGTAGTTGAGCAACATGGTAAGCCAAGAGGCATGTGTTCAACTTCCTTAATCAAGACTTCCCTTGCATTTGAGTGTACAGACTGGGCTGTATCCCATCCTAACCAAACCCTGATCTGTTCCTTTCAATGATAGTTAGAACCCTAGCCAGAATATTCCAATCTGGTGCAGAGTCTAATTGGTTTGAAAAATAATCAGTCGCAGGTGGTGAGAAGGGTTACAGTTTCACAAAGAAGCCTCAGGCCGGTGGAAATGTAATCTGAGGCCTGGTGATAAAGTGAGGAGGCACTTGGACTAACCCCCTTAATCAAGTTACCTCTAAGACAAAGCTGAACTGATAGGTTAGTTAGTTTAAAAACTAGTAGTAGGATTTCTATACTCTATAGGTTCCTGCCTAGTGTCACAAAGGAAATCACTCAAGGTGATAAGTTCCTGGGTGCTGGATGTAAGGTGGTATGTGGGGGATAATCTACATAGAGTATATAATGTACTGACTTGTATGAGTCTTAATGCTGCATATGTAATTGGTATCAATAAAAACATTGCGGATCTGCATTTACACCTTAAAAAAAAAAAATAAAATAAAAAAAATAAATTAATAAGAGTTTCTTTTTAAGAAATATTAATAATTAAGATTTTAAAAAATGAAATAATATATTTATTTTTTGAAAAAATTAATTATATTAGCTTGAATCTTACTTGATTCCAGTAGATAATAAAATATTAATTATATTATAGTATTATTTTTAAATCAAGTTATATATCTGGATTAAATATTTTGCTATTATCTTAATTTAGCTAATAAGATTTGATATAACAAAGATTTTGTTTATAATGATATATAATAATTCTATAACTTGTTATATATGAAAGATTAATTTATAATTATTATATAAATAAAGAATTTAATTAATAGTTTCTATAATTTAATTAGATATTATTATTTTAATTTTACAATTCAATAATACAATACTTTAAATTATTATTATATATAATTACAAAAAAGATTTATAGGCTTTAACCTTATTAAAAAACTTAAAATCTTAATTATATTTAATTAAAAGCAATATTTTATTTCAATAAATTATATACAAAGATTTGTGTTATTTACAAATTAAATTAAATAAATTTATATAATACATACATGTCTTGTATTTGTAATAGTTTAGTATAATTTAATATGCACATTATATTTATCTGATTACAGATTAAAAAAAAATTATATATATTTTTGCAACACATTGAGTATAAAATTAATTTGTATTATACTATATTTTTTATTAAATAAAATCAAATTATATTTTGAAAATGAATCAATAGAAAATACAAAAATCTTGTAATTATTTGCTTTTGTTTGATTTTTAAACAATTACCTTTAAATATTAAAAATTAATTGAAACTGACTACTTTAGCAATTTTATTTAGCAAAATTACTTAATCAAAAATTATATAAAACAGAAAAGCATGTATAATTAATGTTTTCTGAATTCCAAAAAGATTAACCTTGCAGAGTTTTTATTATTTGTAAATAAAGAAAAATAAAAACCAACATGTTTGCATATTTTCCGTCAAGAGATACTGAGTTTCCAATTGCAATTAATGGAATATTGCATTCAACAATATTATGTATTTGTTGATCTAGTTAATCTTACCTCTCTCAATTTTGACTACTTCATCAGTTAAACATATGCCTGAGATTCGAGTTAAGCCTTATAAACTTAATATGTACTAATAAAACATTGTGCATGGCATTTTACAGGCACTGTAACAGTGACTTGATAAAAATTATTGGATAAATTATGTATATTCTGTGAACTATAAAAAATACCGTGGCCTTTTCACATATAATCAAAATAACTAGAAATATTATTTAAAAAATTTCTGTACTGTAGAAAGCAACTTAATTAGATATTGAAAATAAACAACGTATTGTTAGAAAAAATATTCGGGTCTCCAATTTGTCGAGGGGCAAAAAATTGAAATATCACTTTCAGTTGACTACTGGACTAAAGTAATTAGCCTTTTGTTTGATAAAAATAGCTCTCTAGCCCAAGCGTCGAATGATAACGTTTTATTTCCAATCTCAATTTTACTTCTAGAAAACCACTTCTGAACATAATTTATGTCATGTTTTTCTGGAATCGCTCGAAGATTAGTCTCGCAATCAGGAATTTGGGACATATAATAACGGCAGGCGTTAACAATATCAGAAGTCTTTGATCGAATCTTCTTGTAA